AGAGAGAGAGAGAAAGAAAGAAAGAGAAAGAAAGAAATGAAGGAAGGAAGGAAGGAAGGAAAGAAAGGATGGAGGGAGGGAGGGAAGCGGGGAGGGAGGAAAGAATACTTTGGGAAGATCACCTCAGGTCCAATATGTCATATTTTTATCAACACAACCCAGAGTCAAGCCCAGTTTTTAAAGAATACACTAAATTTTTCAAATAAGAAATTTCAAACGACTAAATAAATCACATTTTATCTAATGTTTGAGAAGCCTATTATAATTTTTCCAATTAATTGGCTATACTAGTGTATTATTTTCTATTCTCCCTTTCATTTTTTATCTGCTTTACTGGTTGGTAAGATAATATCACATAGAGTTTTCCTGACTTTTCACTCTAAATTTCTATTCTTTTCAAATTCTCCAATCATTTCCAATTAGTGCAGAATTAAGACAGATTAAGGATTGGGGCCGGGCGTGGTGGCTTATGCCTGTAATCCCAGCGCTTTGGGAGATCACTTGAGGTCAGGAGCTCGAGACTAGCCTGGCCTACATGGGGAAACCCCGTCTCTACTAAAAATACAAAAATTACCCAGGTGTGGTGGCGTTTGCCTGTAGTCCCAGCTACTCCAGAGGCTGAAGCAGGAGAATTGCTTGAATCTGGGAGGCAGAGGTTGCAGTTAGCTGAGATTGTGCCACTGCATTCCAGCCTGGGTGACAGAGTGAGACTCTGTCCACACACACACACACACACACACACACACACACACACACGAGTGGGATTGGAAGATACAAGCCGGCAGGAACTTTTCAACAAATAGAGGCTGTCTGTAATGGGATCTACTAAAATAGAATATAAGTCTTTCTCATGAAAAGGTTCATGGGAAAACTGTCTAGTTGTCTATCAGGAATATGTTGAAAAGGAGGGGTAGGGGGGTTGGACCAAATAATTTCTGAAAAATTTTCTCTCAAAGTTTAAGAACTAGAGTTAGTTTAATGACATTATTTTTCCAGCAGGACTAAAATATTTATTTCAAACTGTTACCACATTTTTTTCTAAATTATTTTATGCCTATTAATTACTTTCTTAAATCTCTATCACTGTCTTCCTGAATAAAATAAACTGGAAATTTTATTTTACTACCTAGGCTGCCCTCTTCTGTCTTTCATGCGCAACACTGAATCACTTTTGTCTTCCCACATATACTCCAAACTTTTAAATTTCGTGCTTAGCTCAGAGACAATGGTTTCAACATGTTGATTTTACATATTTTATACAAAATATGTAAATAGATATTGTGCGAATTTTCCTGAGAATTTCTCAAGGACAGAACAAGACTCATGTTTAAAATTTCTCTACTAGAATTAAATAGTTTCTCTTTTAAAAAATTCAAATAAAACCTGTTATTCACAACAAAGTGCCTAGAACCAAATGCAGGGTTTTTTTGTGTGTGAAAAAATGATGAATAACATTTTCATTTGAAAATCAATAGTATCCAATAAATTACTGGTTTTTGTTAGTTATATCTAATTAGGAAGGCTTAATTCCCTTTTAACTGTTGGATTTCATAGCATTTTATGTTCAGCTACATTAAGAATTAATTTTTGGCTTGGTACCAATGCTAAATTTGCTTATCCAAACAGAAGCCAGGCCAACAGCTTGAAGGATGAAGACAATAATTAACCCAAATCATACACCAGGAGCTATTCCAATGAAAGTGTCCATTAAATAGTGTGTCTTTCTCTGATGCTGAGGCTGATTCTGCAAAGGACATGCACTGCAACCTCCCACAGAATGTTTCTGAATACTAGTGCCAGAGATAGGACGGGAAGAACTACCAGGCTGCCCAAATAAGGCGTTTCTTATTCTGAAAATTACAGTGGAAACCATGAAGAAACAGGGGTTTATCATAATCTGCTGAGAGGTGTGTACATCAGTTCAGCATTTCTAGAGGTCAGTTTAACAGGAGATGCATCAAATGACTTGTAATTGATCACGTCGCATGTTACTGCGTATGGGAATCTAGTACAAGAGGCAATAAAAGACCTATGAAAAGAATGGTCATTATAGCAATAAAGTAGGAAAAAAACTGCAACCAGTATAAGCACTGACTTTGTTAAATAAATCATATCATGGTAAAATGATAAAATATTATGTTATATTATAAAATATAATGGTGTTGTAGAAGAATATGTTTTTTATAAATTGAGTTACAAATGTGTAATTTTCTTTAAAAGTATGAACTGGTTATAGAGCAATATTATCAATATTAATACTGACAATCATTAATAATTATAATATTGATATATAATATCAATATAAGATAAGAGCAATAGTAATATATCTATTATACACATTATATAATATAATATAAGAGCAACATTAACAATATTATCATACCACACACAAATAGAGGCAAGACTACTGAAATATTCACAAACGTGTTAGCACAGATTGTCTCTGAAATGTAGGATTGTAAATCTTTTCTTCTGCTTCTTTTCCTCTTCTCCCTCTATCTTTTATCCTTTTCTTCCTCCTTCTCCTCCTCCTCCCTACTTCTCACTTTTCTTCTTGCTGCTTGTTATTTTCTAAGTACTTATCCAATAATATGATTCCAGAAATATTTAGAAGATGAAATTGACAAATACTTGGTGAATAGATGGAAATGTCCTATGATCAAGACAGAGAAAGTGTTGTGGCTCCTTGTAAAGCCAGAGAAAACATTAGGGGAGATAGGAAAATAACTGGCTCAGTTAAGGTTGTGTATGATAGAAACAAGCAAAGTTTGCATGAAATGATAATCACGAAGAATGCAGGGAAAAGAGAGAGAATATAGGTTTGCCTGGGACTAAGGAATTCCCTAGAAGTTGGATAGTCAATGCTAAAACCAGGTAAATCCCAGGTAAAGCAGGATCATTGATTATCCAAGAGAGCAAAGATTATAGAAGGCTAGATTTGGGAATCTAAGTAAAATAAAAACCAAATGTAGTGAGAATGACTGAATTGAAAACTCATAAATAGAAGAAGTTATGATCAGAGATTGAAATACTTACATTTGGGTTTTCAGAGATGGGTTAGTTCTAAGTAATAAGATTCATGGTTTAAGGTCATGAAAGTTGATGGCAAAAGTGGGGTACACATGCAGGACCTGGAGCTATGAAGATTATGAAGCTGGAAAAGAGATTGAGTTTAATACAGCTTTTCATGTAATCTGTGACATTACCCAGGGTGGTGGCAGAACAAAATGAGAAGAGTAACCCTGATGTTAGTTCATCTTCTGAGATACCAAGAAGTGAGTAGACGCCAGTCTAGGCTAGGATGAGAAGGGATAGAGTATGGTACAGCCAGATGGCATTAATTTAAATGCTCTAAAGACTTGATTCAAGTTTAAGGGATAATTATTTAGAAGAAGCAGTTAAAAATAGACCACATGGGCCGGGCGCGGTGGCTCAAGCCTGTAATCCCAGCACTTTGGGAGGCCGAGACGGGCGGATCACGAGGTCAGGAGATCGAGACCATCCTGGCTAACCCGGTGAAACCCCGTCTCTACTAAAAAATACAAAAAACTAGCCGGGCGAGGTGGCGGGCGCCTGTAGTCTCAGCTGCTCGGGAGGCTGAGGCAGGAGAATGGCGTGAACCCGGGAGGCGGAGCTTGCAGTGAGCTGAGATCCGACCACTAACTCCAGCCTGGCAACAGAGCAAGACTGTCTCAAAAAAAAAAAAAAAAAATACACCACATGCGCTGGCCCTAAATTATGTGGGTTATGGTAGAATGAACAGTCTCCCTTTGATAAGACCAAAAAGATGCAAAGTTATTATCAGGGAAAACCAAGTTGCTGTTAGGGTAAGGGAGTAGAGAAAGATGCAACAAAATGGTTAAAGATGTATAATTTTTTTACGTTAGTTTCATCTAAAACCTAAAAAGCAAAACATTGTCTTGCTTTATCAGGCCCTCATTGGATCAAGGAAAACAGTTCTCAATGAAAAAAGAAAAGATCCCTGTTGGTGGGGTAAGCACCAGAAGAACTAATGTTATTTGCTATTAACCACCTAAACATAAAAGTTTAGCTTGCATTACTGATAAATATTATAGATTTCTCATTTAATCTGAGGATAATTGCTATATAATAGCTTGAGGAAGTTGAATGAAATGGAACTGTGGGTGATTGGTTAGGATTACATGTTATTTATTTATGTATATTCTTTTTCACTAATGATAGCAACTAACATTAATTGAGCTTTTAAGGGTTCAGTACTGTGCTTGACACTCTACATATACTTATAAGGTGATTACTGTTATTCTAATTAACAGGTGATTCATCTGAGGATTACAGGTGTTAGTGACTTGATCAAGATCACAAAGCTTAGGAAACATCAGAATAGGGTTTAAATCGAGGTGTGACTTTAAAGTACATCTTTGAAATCCTATATCATACTATGTATTTAATTGATGCTAATCAGAAACTATCAGTAAGGGAACTTATTCAGAAATGGCGTGTCATGTTCCTGTATCTCTTGGTAATCTAATTTTATATCAATTTTGCCTTTAGGTGAAGTTCTCCATCATTCTGCAGTACCTCCAAGCCTTTGGCTGGCTCTGGGTGTGGCTGACTATGGTCACTTACTTAGGGCAGAATTTGGTGGGCATTGGACAGAATCTATGGCTTAGTGCATGGGCAAAAGAAGCAAAAAACATGACTGACTTCACAGAATGGAAGCAAATAAGAAGCAATAAACTTAATATCTATGGATTATTGGGATTAATAAAAGGTAAAAGAAAATGTATAGCTGCTTCTCTTTTCTTTTTCTGACCTAATTGATTTAAACACAAACATATGGCACCATGTTATCTCAAATAAAATCTGGGCCATAATTTTCAAATATTTGGGGATAACTCAAATGCATATGTTTCCAATTTACCATATTTGAGAGAATAACCCAAAACTTATGGTGTCATCTACATGGTTCACATTAAATATTATGCATAGTTACTTAATCTTGAAAATAACTATTTAAAAAGGTGCTGTTGTCCTCATTTTACAGCCGAGGAAACTGAGGCTTTTATGTAAAGTCATGAAAGATTCAAAAATGGCCACTCTCTGTATATGTGAAGATTGTGAGTGATGTGAAGATAAACAGGCGTCTGTTAAGAGGTTTAAAGCCTACTGAGCCTAGGTCAGGTGTACAATCAAACTACATGATCAGCATTAAGCACTGTAAAGGTAGTGAAAGAAAATGCTGTGAAAATTCAAAGCAAGGGGAGGCTGTATTGGGTTGACATATTAATGTGATTTCTAAGGAGTACTTGGCAATTGAGGGGAGACTAAAACAATGAATAGATGTTTATCAGCTTGAGATCACAGAGAAGGAGAGAGAGTCATAGAGGCAGATAGGAAGGTGTGAGTGAAGATAGGGATGTGGAGGTAAGAAGGGATTTGGCAAGAGCGAGGGTGCCAGTTTGAGTGGTCTTCAGGTTATTGGCAGAGAAACGTAGGGGAGCTAAAGGTGAGAAGGAAGATTGGAGATATGTCAGAGATGATCACTGGGAAGACAAGTGGAGAATTTTGGAAAATTGATGAAGGAAGTGACATAGTTGGATTTGTATTTCAAAGAATAAATTAGCAGTGATAATAAAAAGATAGGTTTTTATTGGAGGGACTAAAGTCAGAGAGACTAGAATGAAGCAGGGGTTGGTAGGAAAAGAATAATCAAGTGTATTTGGGAATCCAGATGAAAGGTAGTCTAGTATAGAAAGATCTCTTATCTGATCCATGACTGTGTCAACCAAAATAACCAATAGGTAAGAAGCAGAAGAGAATTGAATAAATAATGAATGAATGAATGGTCAGAAAGCTACAATTGGATTGGATAAAAGGGATGGATAGGAAAAACATTACAGTGGAAAGACCTAAGAACTGTCCATTTGAGGGTGAGTCAAGAAAGGGCATTCATTAGCCAATCATGCTTTCGAAGTTTAGGTTGGGTAACTGGGAGAGCAATGAGGACAAAAATAAGGAAAATAGGAAATCAGGAAAAAAAATAGGAAACCACTAATTAAACCAGAGCCTTAATTAGTGAAGGAGAGAAATGGTGAGTTCATTGTTGGACACATTTAATGGGAAGTGTCGATGAATGTTTCCATTTTTTTCTCCAATTGGCAGACTAAAAATGCACATCTGTAAGTTTGGAAATTAGGTTTCTTTATCTGTAAAATGAGGGGCTTAAACTAGATGATTTCTACATTTCTGTCAGATTCTAGCATTCTAGACTCTTAGTTCTACACAGGCTTGTAATTATTCTGTAGAGATAATCAATGAACCCACAGGAGTAGATAAGATCACCATGAATGAGGAATAAGAGCCATGAGGGTGAATGACAGATTCTTGACGAGTGTCCACATAGAGCCGATTAGTGGACTAACCTCACAGAAACTGAACAGAGATAAGTTCCTGATCAGATGATCAGAGGGAGAGAAGGAGATAGAACAACAGACACCATGATGTGAATGCTTGCTCCATGTCTGGAAACCCAGGCATATTTTCATTGTTGAAGTTGAAACAAATGAAAAGGTTTGACTTTTTCTGACCCATAAAAATGGCAATTTCCTATGACTTAAGCTAATGCAGTAGTTTATTTAGCACGCATCCTAATGAGGGAGCTCTTACACTCTTTACTTAAACTTTGTTACTTATAGTCTCAGTTTTACCACTTGTATAGATATTGTTTCCTTGATTACATCAGATATGTGTAGTGCATACCTCAAGAGTGCAACAAATGTTAGCTATTGTTTAACAATAGAAAAGATAAGTAATTATTACAAAGCCCTATGACTGGTAAGTTTTGGAGCTAGATTTGAATCCATGTCCAGCTAACTCCCAAGCCAATGTTCTTAAAAACTAAATTAGCATTTAGATGGACAGTAATGAGATATTCTACAAACACCAGGTTCTATTTCAATAGGTTTAGGAAACTAAGAACTATGTTCCTCCATGAATCTGAAATCTTTTTTCTTTCCTTCATTAAAGGTTTGAAGATAGTCTACAATAAAATGACCTGTTTAATTCTGTTTAACACAATGTTCCTCAAATTTATTTGACCATGATTTTTTTTTCCTTGTGTTGCTCATTAATATCTTGGAGCAACTTGTGTTCCACAGAATATATTTTGAGAAATTCCAAAGTATGAGAATTGCCTTCCAAGAAACAGAAAAGTATGATGTAGCAAAAGCAAAAAAAAAAAAAAAATAGTGTTTGAAGTAAATTCTCAGTCGTTCTAAAATGTTACATGTCTATTAAAAACAAAGAAAATTAAGAAACAATTCCTGATTATAGTCAAGGAAACATCATCAAGAGAGAAATGGAAAAAGAATATAGATTGTAGGTGATTAAACAATTGTTCGGAAATTTCAAAAGTATAGTATAACTAAAGGGAAGGTTTTTTTAGAGATAATTTCTTGTGTTTGTATCAAGAGAAACAGGCACCTAGAGAGAGACTGATAGTAATTCAAATAAGAAAAAAACAGAGCCATCTATGTGGAAGTTGTTACATCTTCATATTCATATCCATATGGGAAAACAGAGAGAGATGCATGATTTTGGTAATGGAAAAGTCAGATAAAACAAAAACTATGAAACTTAGAGACTTGCTTCTCTTTTCTGCTCTCTTATCTTATTTTCACTGTCTGGCCATAGTACTGTTTGTAACTGTCTCTATTTAAAAATAAGCAGATATTGTGAGACAAATTTATGTTTGTTCTGTCATTTTGTTAACAGCATTCACTGGGAAAAGAGATGTTAATAATGAAAATGAGATATAAGAATTATCTACAGTATGAAAGAACAGGACCTTACAATTTCTTTGCTTTTGAATCAGTGAGAGTCAGATTTATTGACTTGCAGTTTGCAACTCAATGAGGAAGATATAGATGTAGAGGTCTCAAATTACAGCAAGAGAAACCTCCCTATATACATGAATCTCCGTATCTCTGCATGTCACATATACATATGAAGGCTAAATTCACACCAATTCAGTGAAATTATGTTACAGCTTTAGAGTAGATGTAATAACCTTTGAAGAACATTTTAAGTGAGTAAATAGCATTTCTATAACATGTAAAGTATGCAATTTTAGTGTCCATAATATTATTTATGTAAAATCTTCATTTTAATTAACTGTCAGTAAATATAGAAAGATTTTATAACCAAAGCAACAGATTATGAACAGTTTTATCGTAAAGGTTTTTTTCCTGATTGGCTTTTGTTTAGAGTGGTCTGCAGTTGTTAGCATATAAATCTTCTCGGATGTATTGCTTCTTCACATTTTTTACATTTAAAAATTTTTTAATTTTTAAGGCTTATTAAGTGCAACTGCAAATTAACGTTTCCATAAGTAAGCTGAGCCTAGAAATAAAAATGTATAATTTCTGGGGGTTTTTTTTGGCAGAACTCAGCTCTCTTATGGAATCTGATTTAATTGACAGCAGGCTGTATTCACTGACATCATCATAGCTCATTTTTATTTTTTGGAACTTTAAAGCATAAACAGAACTTTCACATGTTAATACTAGAAGCCCACTATGAATAATATAGAAGGCTAGCATTCAAACAAAACTGGAGAACTGAAGCTGAAAATGCTACATCCATATTTTATGACAATAATAAAGATCTTACCTCATTTTTTAAAAAAGAAATTGCCCTGAATAGTTTTTTCCCTGAGTCTCAGCGATTTGCTTCAAATTTCTAGGATACTTGGCGCATCTCTAATGTATTGTGTTTTATGTCTCACTATTGGGAACTTCCTTTCTCCGATCCAATGTGTAAAATATAGGCACCTTATTTTCAAAGTGTGATGATTAAGGAGCACACTGCTGCTTCCAGTTTAAGAGGGCTAAGTGGTTCATTTACTTTCCTTACCTCCCTAAATTCCACTGAAAGGACAGTGTATAAATATAAAAGGAAAGGTGTTAGGAGACTTCACAGTAATACATCTCTACATACGGGAATATACCGATAGAAAATGAAGGGTAGAAGAAAACCTGTAGCCAGGAACAGATACTGGAGAAGTTGGAATAGAAGAGGGAGATGTTCAGTTGAGCCATGGAAAAACACTGAACTTATGTTCACAGGTACAGAGAGAAGAATTGAGTTTCATGGAAGTAATCAATGTAATTCATTAGAACATTGTTCTGATGGCTCATCACCCCCTTTAAAAAAAAAACGCCAACAACAACAAGGGAAAAAACCAATGTGATAGAAACAGTCAATGGAAACTAGAAAACTGATGTTTAAAGAGGAAATGAGGATTTCTAGCATGTGTGACATACGTAAAAGAAAGCCTCCTTATTGTGGCTTTTGGAGAAGGCTCAGCCAACATGCCTTGCATCCCAGTATGAAGGCTTTCAGGGTCGTACCTTCCCACTGAAACAGAACTTGAAGCAAACTCTTCCACTCAGGGGAGAGAAATATTGGGGGAAATTAATGTATGCAACGGCAGAAGAAAGCCACATCAGGTACCTATATTAATTAACCACGTCTTTGTTTCGTAGTTTTAAACTGATAATGTCCATCCAGGGCATACATTTCACTCAAACCAACAGCATCAATAAAAGTCAATAAACACAGCAGTCAGGCTCAGAAGTAAAACAATAATATTTGGAAAACAATTAGACTTTCAAAATGTCTAGTTACTGCTTTCAGAGATTCAAAATATTGCATCCATAAAGTAAATGTAGACTGTGCTAAACTAAGTTCAGCCTGAGAACAAGAAAGCTCTTGAAAAATTTAAAGAATTTTAAAAGTTTGTACCAATGTAAGATAAATTGGAAGAAATTATCCCAAATGTACAACGTTATAAACAGAGATGGAAAATGATAGATAATAAAAAATTACAGGTACAGTTCAAGAAGTTTAACATGTATATAGAAAGAGCTTCAGTAAATGGGGGAAAAATACTAAGTACATAATATTTTTAAAACATACTTCCTGTCCGGGCACGGTGGTTCACGCCTGTAATCCCAGCACTTTGGGAGGCCGAGGTGGGTGGATCACGAGGTCAGGAGATCGAGACCATCCGGGCTAACAGGTGAAACCCGGTCTCTACTAAACAAAATACAAAAATTAGCCGGGCGTGGTGACTCAGGCCTGTAGTCCCAGCTACTCGGGAGGCTGAGGCAGGAGAATGGCGGGAACCCGGGAGGCGGAGCTTGCAGTGAGCCGAGATCGCGCCACTGCACTCCAGCCTGGGTGACGGAGCGAGACTGCGTCTCAAAAAAATAAAAGATAAATAATAATAATAATTAAAAAAAAAAAAACTTTCCACACTGAAGAATAGAAATGCCTGTTCCAGCAACCACTCTAGTTTAGAGCAGGAAGACCGAGAGTCCCAAGGCAGCAGTTTGTGTTGCAGAGGGCAGGTGCTCAATACGAGTAAAGAAACAGTAGGATATTTGATCAGTTCGAGTGTATTTAGAAGAGACTTAGCTATTGAAGTGTTTGAGAAAAAATTAGCCCTAGTTACACAGAAAATTAAGCATACGGAAAAATAGTGACACAAGCGACATGTTTGGTGACTTTCATGAGCAATATATGTTTATTGAATATTTGAGAAAAAATGGGTAATCTATTGGAAGGGAAATAGGGAAGTATGGGAGGAATGGAGGAAAATAATAGAAACCACTTAAGACTGAGAAAGCTAATAGCTATTTGAGATATTATTTAAAAATATAAGGAAATATAGCTAAATGAATGAAGGTGGTGAGAAGCAACTAGTTTTGTTTTGTTTTAAACATGATACCTGCAAAGGAACAAGGATCATATTGGCAACACACTTTTATTAGCAGTTTTGTATATTAGAGTGCAATGGAGCAGCTGCATGTCTGTTAAGACTCAAGAGTAAACCGGCTTAAGTAACATGGAAGTGTATTGACACCCAAAGGTAAAATGCCCAGGCATAGATTTTTAAACACACTTGATCCAGAGGTTCAAATAAAATGTTTCCAACTCTCTTAATTTTGCAGACCTACTTATTTTTTTTCCTGGTTGGTTTTGTTCCTAGGCTTCACATATTAGTGGAAATGTATCTTTCAAAGAACTTTCTTCTGTTTCTATGTGTGCTAATAACTGTTTTTCAGCTTCTTCCACTAAAGCTACAAGTTTATCTGATAAGTAACTAATGCAAGAACAACTCTCCCATCAACCACATCTTAGGAGCTTAACACACCAAAAGAATTATATCCCTCACTCATTTCATGTGTCCACTGTGGGTCAGGAAAGGGACTCTGATTATCCTAGGGACTCCAGCTGAGGAAACAAGCCAAGCTCCATTTTAAATGCTGGCGAGCACTGTGCAAAGGGAATAGGACTGACACCAGCAATTAAATGTTCTAACTTGGAAGTGTCGTATACCATTTCTCTTATAATTTGTGGTTCAGAACTATTCATTTGGGTCTATCAACCAAAAGGGGGCCAGAAAGTTCAACTCTACCATGTACCAAGAAGCTGGGAGAATGGAAATATTTGGCTACAAGCACTGGTAACTAACATATTGTCCCACAGAACATCCTAAAGGTAATAGGTTGCTAAATTTCTGTGCATTAGATCGACCTTTTATCTTCTGTACATTTCTGTGTGGAACCTATGACCACAAGTGGGAGCGTTCTGCTGTATCAGCATGGCAAAACATCAGAAATGTGTATGTATTTCACATACATCGTATATTATGTTTATATTTGTTTTAGTCTACAGTTACACATTTTAGGTGTAATATTTGGGTTTTCCGTTAAAATAAATATAAATATTTTTTATAACTAATCTTTTTACAGCAATCTTTTGAAAGTTAAAGCACCAATTTCCTCATATTGTTAATATAACTGTGATAACTGTGTGTGTTTAGGTCTCTTTGTCTGCTCTGGAGCCTACGTAATCACTAGAGGATCCCTGGCTGCCTCTCGAACCATGTATGTTCAACTGTTGAATAATGTACTGCACCTCCCCATCCAGTTTTTTGAAACAAATTCCACAGGCCAGATCATCAGTCGTTTCACCAAGGTAAGGAAAGACACACCTTATTAAATAGCATACATAAAAGTGACCCATATTCAGTACCTTATTTTCTCACTTGTACAAAATATTATGTATTTTATATAGATTTCATTGTTAAATATATTTCTAAGCCTTAGGACGTACATAACTGAAGTACAACAGAGTCACATTTTGTACATATAATTAAAATAACACTTGAAAAATTACTTAAAGAATCCAAGAAACACATGTGCTTTGAGATCTACCACTCTAATTCTTACACACATCAAGTTTGAGAATCACTGCTTTAGGCTAAGAAGGGAAAGAAAATGTAAGTCGGCCAGGCACGGTGGCTCAGGCCTGTAATCCCAGCACTTTGGGAGGCTGAGACAGGACGTTCACCTGAGGTTGGAAGTTCGAGACCAGCCTGACCAACATGGAAAAACCCTGTCTCTACTGAAAATACAAAATTAACCGGGAAGAGTGGCACATGCCTGTAATCCCAGTCACTCAGGAGGCTGAGGCAGGAGAATCGCTTGAACCCAGGAGATGGAGGTTGTGGTGAGCCGAGATTGCACGATTGCATTCTAGCCTGGGCAACAAGCGCAAAACTCCATCTCAAAAAAATAATAATAGTGAAAAAATAAAAAATAAAATTAAAAAAAAAGGAAAGAAAATGTAAGTCAATGTAGAGATATCCAGACTTTGAAAACATCCTGCCTTTAAGAAAACATAACATCACTTATGGTGAATGGGGAATGAATTGAGATTTTCAGAGTGTCTCTGTTTATCTGTAGGAGTTTTCTCATTGTGTCTACCATAAAATGCTTCTAATAGAACTGTCCAATAAAGATAAAATGCAAGCCACGTATGTGATTTTAAATTTCCTGGTAGCCATAATAAAGAAGTAAAAGAAAACACAATAGAAATTAATTGTGATAATACATTTTATTTAACACAGTATATCCAAAACATGATTCCCAACTGTAATTAACATAAAATTATTGATTAAACTTTACACTTTTTTGTACAAGGTATTTTAAATCTGGTTTTTATCATGTGCTTATAGCATATCTCAATTTGCAATAGCCACATTCCCAGTGTTCAGTAGTCACATATTGCTAATGGTCCGTACATTAAGATGCGCAGGTCCATAACCTCAAAGTGCATTAACACATTTCTATGTATATGTAAAAACATGGGGGGTGTATGAAGGGAAGTGAAGATAAAACGTAAAAACATAAATGAAAGTACCTAACATCATAAATTTCTAATGGAATGTTAAATCTTGCTTAATCATACCAAGGGACATACTGTTGTTTGAAAAATTATAGAAGAGTTTGATGACCACCATTCTGTTTCTCCCAGAGGACATTTATGACTACAACCCTACTGATTTATTATTATTTTCATGTAGCAAAATTTCAAATGATTGAGTCTTAAGCAGATGAGAGTATGGGCAGGTAAATTCAAAATGGGAAATTCCATGTGAATATGATATTTTTAGACTGTTTGGCATATGAAATAACCAGGGAACACCCAAAAGAGGGTAGGATTAACAAAATTTCATCTCTGCTTTTTATATTAGTTTTGTCCTGAACTGAATAGTTCATCTATTCAAGGTTCAGTGTCTTAGTATTCCCTGGAATCTCTCAGGTCATACCTTGTGCCACAAACAGATTAAGTTATATGCAACAAAGTGTAAAACAGGCTGGCGCAGTGGCTTATGCCTGTAATCCCAACACTTTGGGAGGCCGAGGCAGGTAGATCACCTGAGGTCAGGAGTTCAAGACCAGCCTGGCCAACATAACGAAACCCTGTCTCTACTAAAAATATAAAAACTAGCTGGGCATGGTGGCTCATGCCTGTAATCCTAGCTACGTGGGAGGCTGAGGCACGAGAATTGCTCGAACCTGGGAGGCGGAGGTTTGCAGTGAGCCAAGATCGCACCACTATACTCCAGTTTGGGTGATACAGTGAGGCTTCATCTCAAGAAGAAAAAAAAAAAGAGTAAATCAATGCATGACCTTGCCATTGTCCTTCTCTCATTCCTATTGGCCACTCTGTCTTTCAGTTCATAATTTTATAAATGAAGATTATTTTGTTTTCCTGCTTCGTCTGATATGAGTAGGATCCAGTTATCCAGGAAGGCCACTGAACATGTTCGTAGTTGATAACAATGCCCCAGGAGTGACTTAACAAATTTTGAGTCATAAACACTGGTAGCTCAATGCCCCAAATATTGGGATAAAAAAACTAGCTATTGAATTATGGACTGCTTTTGTTTTTGTTTTTGTTTTTTTGATCAAAGTCTGACTTTCGTTGTATAATTAATTGTCATGTAGTGGTCATCGGGAAATATAAACTGCTTGATGATAAGTATCTAGAAATTAGAACAGCCTTTTAATTGTTATAGTTGACTACAGGGGAATAATATATGGGGTCAGCAAAGATCGTGTAGTTAGATTTATTTATGAAATCAATAGATTGTCATACCTGGGTAAACATTTTTAATTTTGCCATTGAATAATATATTTCTTCTTTCTCTCATTTTAAACTATAAAAAGTTAAAAATAAAGTGACCTAATGTCAAATTTTTCAGGACATATTTATAATTGATATGCGTTTGCATTACTATTTACGGCTGTGGGTGAATTGTACATTGGATGTTATTGGAACAATTTTGGTCATTGTGGGAGCTTTGCCCCTCTTCATTCTGGGGATTATTCCCTTAGTGTTCTTCTATTTCTCTATACAAGTAAGTGCATACATTTTTATTTGTATTAATAACTTATAAGTTCACAATCAAATATAGTTTCAGACCCACTTAAACCTCCTCTTTGTCCAGGTTCTCTAAGAAGCAGAGTCAAAGAAAGGAATAGATGTATTAGAGATTTACTGGGGGAAATGCCTGTAAAAGATAAAGGAGAGGGAGCAGAAGAAGGCTGGGCTGAGCAAGCCCTCAGACAGCGACTCAGGCTGAATGCCTGTGAGGGAGAAAAAGAAAGAAGATGGATTGGGGTAACAAGGGTCTTGGACTACAGGACAGTTCTACAACAGGTTCGACAGGAAGTTCTCAATCACAGTTGCCTGTTGGAGGGTGTTATGTGCACTTTCTGCCAGTACTCAGTCATTGGCTGGCCTCTACGCTAATACAGCAGTGGATCCATCAGTGCAGTCGCAGGGGCTGTCAGTCAGCTATGCTCCTGCAGCAGGAGAGCTGGGGCCTGCATTTTTATGCTCACCACAAAACCTGTATGTTGTAATTTTAGCAGAAAATTAATTTCCCTGCACATCCAAGAGAGACAGATACTGCCTTTTTGTCTTGTTTTTTTTTGTTTTTGTTTTTGTTTTTTCAGACATCACCTGTCTCTTACAGACAAACAATTGCTGGAAAGCTAAATATGTCTGTCATGATTCTTACATGCTCTCTTCGTATTAAAATGTGATCATCCAATTTAAATTGCAAAATTATGTCACTGTAAGGCTGCAATGGTAAACAAAATTTCTTAGCATTTTTTTTCTTCAGCAATCAAACAAAGCAATTTTATTAAACAATGAAAAGAATCAATTAAAATGGATATCTTTATTATCTTTATTATTTTACAAGAAACCATGACAGCTTTTGGTTTAAAACACATTTATAGCTTCATACAGAAATGACTCACATAAATTTCTCCACCTCACTCCTACCCTGTGATATGAAAGTTCTTTTCATATTCACAGATTTATACACCTTATTTCTGTTCCCATAATTTTTTTGACACTTATCTCAAGGTACTAGTCAAACACGCAAGAACTATAAATAGATGAATTTTTCAAATGTGTGATATCAAGAGATTATTATAAAATATTTTAAACATCTTCTTTCTACATTGCCTTTATCAAAGTACATGCAATTTTTTATTACAGACTTAATCCACAAATAAAGAGTGAAATTTAGAGATAGTTGCAGAAATAACTATTTCCCATTTCTTTTACTTATCCTGGCAATAAGGACTTCAATAAAAGAAGAAATTAGTTTAAGTAAACAGAAAAACAAAAGTAGATTGTAAGTGTAAATGGAGCTCAAACTGAATCCAAAATAACGAATGTATATTTTTCCACTCCATATTAGTTAATTATCCTCAAATATGTAATCTACTATGAAAATGTAATCCTTACATTTGTTGGAGATTTTAAAAGAAGTATAAAATACAGAGAAAATTACCTATTATTTCTAAATTTTCAGTGAAATTTCTATATTAAAATATGTATTCCAAAGCATGATTTCTATATCCTGATAGTCAGCTTTAACTTATCAGTTATCATATACAAGGTAAAATCAATGCTGAAGCATATATTTTAAATGTAGAAATATCTGAGACTCTTTTCAAAAAGATTCTTAGAGTTTAATGCTTTTCAGAAACCCAAGTTTTAAAATTCATGTTAGAGTTTAGTCTGCTCAAGCCAGACTACAAATAATTTTCTCATTTCCATACCTATACTCTATTATTCTTCCTACTGTACATCTTTTCCCTGTTCTTTCTGTCTGTCCCGATCTTACTTGACATTGATGGCCTACGTCATTTTCCATTTTCTATGTGGCGCATTCTCTATCACAATAGTGCAAAAAGAACTGACTCCGTATCTACTATTCTAATATCTACTATTACGGGTTTATTACACTGGTGGCATATACTGATGGTATAATAAATCCAGAATATATGAAAATGTAAGTGCTCTGAGTTCAGAGACTATGTTTTATATATATTGTAAAAATCTAGGAAAAAAAGCACTCATGTGGCAAATGAAATTTTATGTGTTGGTCTCCTGTCTGGTAAACTCTAACAGAGTTACCAGGAGTAAAAAGGAGTCTAGGAATCATGTCTCTTTAGGGGGTGTAATATAGGATGAGGTCTGAATTTGGATTCAGGAACTTGGAGTTCTAGTCATCTTCCTTACTCATCTGCCTGGGACATCATTTCCCTTTCTAGGCTCTATTTCTTTCCCCTGTGCAATAAAGGTTTGATTTAGATGTATGCTATGTGAAGTGTGGTTCCTGGACCCATGGGCCATAGCCCAGACCTATTGGATCAGAATCTCCCAAGGTAGGGTCCAGAAACCTGCCTTTCAACAAACACTTCAGGCAGGTGATTCTTACTAAAATATAAGGAGCATTGATCTAGATAAAATTTCTTAAACCAGATTTCCCAGAGAGTTGCATGAAAGAACTCCATGGATTCTATAATTCACTGAAAATTTATCAGAAGCTCCAAGTGTGTATGCATATTTACATTTGTCTAGGGAAAGCATTTTACCCTTATTTATCTACTCACATGGTCTGTGACCCCAATAACATATTCCCTAATCTAGGCAATCTCTTAAATCCCTTTACAGCCTCAGAATGCCGTAGTCCTCTGTATTCTTCAGAGCACTTAGCACAGTGTAGAGTTCAGTTGTAGACCACCAGGCTGTATGTAACCTGAGATATGTTTTTGTTTCGCTTGCTCAGCATTTTTACCAAATGTAGACATTTTAAAACCAGGGATTTTACATAAAATTCCAGATTTAAAATTTTCCTGAAAATTGTGCAAGACCTCATAACTCTTGATTTTCATTTCCAGTTGGTAGCAATTTTCCGGGGTTGATTAACGATCCAGTTAATTCAGGGCATGCTCCATCCAGCTTCCCACAGTCCTTCCCATCCTAATTGTCCTCAACTTCAAGCCAAGGGGAAGTAGACAACTTATAATTTGCTTTTTGTAAAAACAAGGTCTCCCTATACATATATATAACTTTTTGTAAAAACAAGGTCTCCCTATATATATATAACTTTTTGTAAAAACAAGGTCTCCATACACACACACACACACACACACACACACACACATATATATATATAAAACTTTCTGTAAAAACAAGGTCTCCCTACATTGCCCAGGCTGGTCTCAGACTCCTGGGCTCTAGCAACCCTCCTGTCTTGGCCTCCCAAAGTGTTAGCATTATAAGCGTGGGCACCACACTCGGCCTCTCTCACAGTTCTGAAGTCCAAAATCAGTATATAGGCAGAGTTGATTCCTTCTGGAGGCTTTGAGGGAACATCTCTTTCATGCCCCTCTCCTAGCTTCTGATGGCTGTCAACAGTCCTGATATTTTCGTTGGCTTCTAAATACATCACTTCAATCCTTTTTGTCTCTTATAAGGATACTCAACATTGGATTTAGGGTGCACCCTACATCCAGGGTGATGTCATCTTGAGATCCTTAACTATTACATGTGCAAAGATGCTATTTCTGAATAAGGTCACATTCACAGATACTGGGGGTTAAGACTTGTATCTGACTTTTGGGGGGTCACTCTTTAAATCACGACACAAAGGTCTTGTAGTTTTTAAACTATTAAAGCAATTTCTGCTACATCTTTCCGACTGCTTCTTTCTGTCTTCTGATTAGAGATACTATGTGGCAAGCTCTCGGCAAATCCGGAGGCTGACAGGAGCGTCCCGTTCTCCTGTCATTTCCCACTTCAGTGAGACTTTATCAGGAGTGTCCACCATCAGAGCATTTGGACATCAACAGAGGTTTATCCAGCAATACAAAGAGGTGGTGAATGAAAACTTGGTCTGTTTCTACAATAATGTAATTTCTAACCGGTAAGTCCCATCGATACTTAGCCTAAGATCAATCTCTTCTTAGACATCTTGCTCACTGACTTCTAAACAGAGGGTTTTGTATGGCATTTCATTCAAGTTTTAGAAGTATGTATTAATAAGACAAATATTTTCCAGTATTTAATGTACATTTAAATTGAATTGTATCTATTTATATTCACATGAATGGTACATACAATTTAATGTGAAAAAGGTGCTGTTAGAATTACTCATGACATAATTCTGCATGGTGTTTTATATTTTTAGAATATATTTTATTTGTATATACTGTTACAAAACAGTGTATACAAATTTTATTAAAAATTTTTGAATTTGAAGTTATAATCTCACATAAAGGAGAAAAATGAAATATTAAATAGTGGTTGAGCACATTTCAATTTTTAGAGACTAATTTTATCATATTAAAAAGTATATACAACTGGAAGGGGAATTGATTTTCCAATAGGATTTTTAAAATGCAATACATCATTTTAACTGGTGTTATTTTGCTTTTAAATTCTGATCAAGTTTTAAAGCAAAGTTCTGCAAAAGTAAAATGCATTTTCATGCAGATGAATTCTTTAAGTTATCATGGATGATCCTATGTTTGATTGAATTCCAAGTAAGTGGGGGAGAAAAAAGAAAGCAGCTCTTACTGTTTACGTCTCGATTTCCCAGAGGAGACAGTTAGTACTAAATGCACCAAAACTTTTCCATCTCAGTTACTCAGGAATATATTCCATTTATCACAGGTGGCTGTCTGTTAGACTTGAATTTCTTGGCAACTTAATGGTGCTTTTTGCTGCACTGCTTGCTGTGTTGGCTGGCAATTCTATAGATTCAGCAACAGTTGGTTTGTCTATATCCTATGCCCTAAATGTAAGTAATAATGACTTTTGTGGTAGATGGTATGTTTATAATCCCATTAATTACACACTCTTCTTCTTTGCTTGTCTGAATTATATATTATATTAACTAAGTAATGAGAGACAAATCTGGATTGCTCTGGAGGCTCATTTCCTTCTCTATCTTGCTAGTCACAGGAAGCTAGCTCAGCAATTCTAAGTTAACGTATAGGAAGAACAGGCTGATACTCAAGGCTGAGTGCTAAAGGACCAGGAAATCCTGATGTTCCATAGTTACTCAGAAGTTTCCTGCTCTCCTGTCCTGGTGGATTTATAGAGTATTAAAAGGGTAGGGTCCCTCTCCAACACAGCTGGTGTATCTCATGTGCTCAGTCTAAGCAAGAAGATAATGCAAGCTCTAGGGAGACTATATGAGCTGTTTCTCTTTGGCTTGTAAGTTTTTCCCTAATAAACCCTATTTGATATTACACTGTAATGCACTAGTGGTAGGATGCATGCTCCCTTTGTAAAATAACAAATGCCCTAAACTGCTTCCACATTATGGAGAAGATAAGTCTAGGTGATTGTGTTATATACTCTTGGTCCCATATCCAAAAACCTTGAGCCAGTTGCATTTCAGAATTCAGAATTTAGGCTGCTAGAAAGGAAATATGTACATAGCCATATCCAGGGCCTGGTTCAGAAGCCCATAATCAAACACTACTGCATATGCCCACGAACTGGATTAAGCAAACGCTTTGAAGAGCCCCCACATCAGTTCAGGCCAGGTGAGGTATCAAATGGGCTGGTACCAAACTCAAGAAAAAAACTGGATTGTACCAGTTTTTTGACTTTTAGAATTCTGTTCAAAGTTATACCCTTAGAGAACCTACATTTGGGAATAGAGTGAGAAGAAAATATAGATTTTTTTTTTCTTTTTAAGAGAAGCAGGAATAGTTAGAAATCTAGGAGAATCTTCCTTCTGATGGAAGGTAGTGAAGAATGCCAAAGTGTTTGCACACTGGCTTTTTTTGTCATTTAGGATGCACATTTTTTTGAGGCATATCCCATCAATCTTACATCATTCCTTATACCCACTATGCGCTTCTTGCATATATGCTGAATTATGGTCTATCTTATCCCAGGTAATTCCATTATTTATGATATTAATGAGTTTAATAGCCTTAAACACAAATATGCATATGAAGAAATATGCTTATTTCTAGAGCTGCTAAATAATCAAAAGAAATAAAGTATATGAGATAATATGGGACAAGTTCTTGGCAGATCCAAGAAATGAAAAGTAAAACTTTAGAAAAAATAAAGTATTATTTATGTTACAAAAAAAACTAAAGAACATGCATTAAGCTCTTGTTTGCTCCACCATACCCCCTAGATAACTCATTCTCTGAATTTTTGGGTAAAGAAAGCATGCGAAATTGAAACCAATGCAGTTGCTGTTGAAAGAGTTTGTGAATATGAAAATATGGATAAAGAGGTAAGCACATCTCCTGTAATCCCAGTACTTTGGGAATCGTGGGAGGATCACTTAAGTTCGAGAGTTCAAGACTAGCCTTGCCAACATAGTGAGATTCTCTTTCTCAAAAAAAAAAAAAAAAAAAAAGTAAGCTGGATATGGTGGCTTATGCCTTTAGTTCAAGCTACCTGGGAGGGTGAGGTGGGAGAATCCCTTCTGCTTGGGAGTTCAAGGTTGCAGTGAGCTGTGATCATGCCACTGCACTCTAGCCTGAGTGATAGAGCAAGATCCTGTCTAATAAAAAAAAAAAGTATAAGAAAAAAAAGAGGTAAGCACTACTAAATACTAAATAATCAATAAATGGATTGGCTGCAGGAGTAAGACATTGTAATGTACTATAAATTGACATTAAAAACAAATGTTAAGCAAACCTGCATTTCCAAATTCATGGGATATTCAGTGTCTCAATGAAATTAAAACCAAAATTATTATAAAGTGGCCTATTATTCTATATATCACTAAAATGGAAATAAAAATACTTCTAATTAAATTAGGATACACCCTAAATTGTAAAATATATCCCTACTTCAATGAGTTATAAAAATACAAGATCATATCCTGTTTCTAAAAGGCACAGTGATTTGTCCTCTACTGATGTGTAGTGTAAAATATACAACTTGCAATTATAACTTTGTGGAGATTTTACAGTGAGAAAAGTGGCTTAATATACTCAACTCATAATTATTTAGATTCTGCACAATTTCTAAATGAATTACATTTTATTGCTTATACCTTCTGTTCTGTTTACCCATCATTAGTATCTCCGTGAATGTGAAGGGAGAGGAGAATAAATCAGTCTATTTTGTTCCCTCTAATTAACTGTAATTTGGGAGGGTGAAGAGTTATTTCAACTAGTGACAGAGTATAATATTTAGGTTTCTAAAATATTTTACTCATCTGGATTGCTTCTGCTTCCAACTTCTACTAATTAACAGGGCAGATGACAAAGATGACTTGGATTTCTGTTCCTTCCTCAATCCACCTAGGAAGCTATCTTTCTTTTTTATCTTGTAACTCTTCCTCTTTCGCTCATGAATCTGAGGAACAGGTACCTCCTCCAAAGAAAAATCTAACATTTCCCAATGCATTTTTGGTAATATCTTTTCCTGTTTTCTCTCAGATCTTACTCCATTAACCACTTCTTCTAATTTCCACTCCCCTGCAGTTCCTCTCAGCCTGTAACTATGCCAAAACACTTTCTGCATTCTCCAACTCCTACCTGAACTTTGAATTTTTCTCTGGATTTTTCCCGAGGTCTTGTCTTTCCTTCTCAAAGAAATTTCATGAAAAATTAGTCTACCTTCACAATCTTCAGTTACCAATATTCAACTTGTTTAGTCTGTCATCTCATGGCTAATATCAAATATTATTTTTCTGTATTTTCTAAATTTTTGCTCATGATATATATTTCTTTCACATTAGAAAAAGATGATAAAAATATGTGTGTACACACATTTAAACAAACAAACAAAAACCTTTATGTAATTCGATGCAAGTTGTGACAAATACTGCTATAAAAACTCTTGACATGGAAGGATGAATGTGTTCAAATAACCTTATTCAACCCTCTACACCTGTTTCTCTGCTTTCCGTTACAGAAAAGTTCTTTTGCAAAGTTGCCTGTACTTGCTTTTCTATTTCCTTTTCTCTGATTCATTTTTGGACCCTCTCCAAATACGCTTTTGATCCCACTATTCCACTGAATCTTCCCTCATGAAGATCACAACTGGTTCTTTGTCAGTCCTCACCTACCTGACCTATCATTTGATGTTAGCCATCACTCCCTCTCCCACGAAGCACTTTACCTCACTGTCCAGGCATCACGCAGTCTTGTGTGTTCTTTTATCTTGTGCTTCCTCCAGTATTCCACACAGGCCCCTGTCTTAGGTCTTGGGCACAACTAATTAGTTCTAAATAGTTATTAAACCCTTTGCCTAGAATGTTCTTCCATTGGTATCCACCTGGCGTTTTCTCTGACCATAGTCAGCAAAGCCTTTCCTAACTACCCTGCTTTAAATGACACCTCCTCCTCCTCCCAACCCTGGCTATTTCTTGTCTTATAAAGCTTTATTATCATCCAACATGCTGTATATGTTATATGGTTCTTTTTGTCTTTCCCCACTACACCCCATAAGGGAAATAATTTTTATCTGTTTTTCTCACTGTGGAACCTCCAGCAACTAAAATAGTGACTGACACAGCAAACCTTTGAGGAACGAATGAATGACAAGCTGTCCTTATCTCAGCTAAAATTTCAAGTTATCTTCAGGCCCTTAAAAGGATTTTAGAAAATCTTTTTCTTAATAACTTGATAGGAGATGAGAAGTCTTCTTACCTCAAAATATTTATTTCTAATATTTTCTTATAACTAGATAAGTTTCATGTTGGTAACGTTTAAAACTATTTTCAGAAAATCATAATATCCACAAATATCTTTCATCATTTGTATTTATATTTTGTTACATGCATAAGAATTATTTTGGAGGGAGGGATTTTTAAATTATAATTGCTGTTTAAAGTATTTATTTTTTGTTTGTTTTTGTTTTAAGGCACCTTGGATAATGTCTAGAAGACCCCCATTACAATGGCCCAATAAAGGTGTAGTGGAATTTATTAATTATCAGGCTCGATACCGAGATGATCTTGGTTTAGCATTGCAAGATATCACTTTCAAGACTCATGGGGAAGAGAAGGTATCATATATATTTCATATGTTTTAGTTTCCCTTTTATCTGAATGCATTCATTGTTGAGTATAATACGATATTGAATATAAGGTAGTCTTTTGTTACACAAAAGTAATAAAGACATGTGGTTGGTGTGTACTGAATATATTTTCCCTCTATAAAAAATACATTTCTTAATTAAATTGCTCATATACTACTGTGAAACATAATTTTTGTGTACTTAGTTTTTACTTCCTCTATAAAATGAATTGCAACAATAAGTAAATCGTTACCGCAAACACAATAAATCCATATATTTAACTATTTGTATACTTAAAGACATCATGTTTTCCAAAACCATTAGAGAGATGGGAAAATGTTTGAAATGCACTTTAGTTAACACAAACAACTTACAAAACTATCGATAGTATATGATATTAGTTTTATTTTTTATAAAAGCAACCGGACACATTAGCAAAAATATTTTTGGAGCAGAAATATTTTTGGAACAGAAGCAATCATTCTGAAATTTTCATTACCCCAATGACTTCAACAGATTTCTGTGTTTTCTGATTTATTTTGTTAGACTTAAGATTTTATATTAGGGCAAACGAACCACTTTAATATTCTATCTGCCTAACGTTCCTATTAATACCAAGATGCAAATCAGCAACCAGAAGATATTGCTCTTTAGTTCTCATGGTCATAGGGAAATATTTAATCACTGGGATGTTTATGACAAGATAATTATTTTGGCCAGGAGTCAAAAACCTTAAACACTATTTTTGGCTGCCTATAATAGTTTTAATGCAGAGTTGCTTTGATACACCAGGGAAATTTACAGACATTCCTTTGAATTTTCTAGTCTATCAGGCAAAAGATTCCAGTGCCCTATTTGTTTCTTTGCTTGTTTGTTTCAATGAAGGGAAGATAGAGAAAATCCGTTTTCTGAAAATCTCAATAAAACCACTCATTATCATTGTTTCTTTTGCCCTAAACTTTAATGGGTAGTTTAGGGGTGGTTCAGGAATGACCTGGTTTTCCTGGGTCTGCTGGGGATCTTTGGTGAGGAAGTAACTAATTTATTCAAAACTAAAGGAAAAACATAGATTAGTCAGAGCCTTTCCAGCAAGTAAAGATTATTTGGATAAAAACTGGTCCTTACAGGTCACCTGACATCTTCCATGCCCATTAAGGTTAGTCTTGTTGACAAAAATTGGATCCCACTGACCTGATACCTGAATACATTTGTTGCCAGTGCAAAGGGCCTTGTTTCCTTACAAAAAGTAGAGTTTATGATTATTTCATTACAGATTGGAATTGTGGGAAGGACTGGAGCAGGCAAATCCACACTATCAAATTGCTTATTTAGAATTGTGGAGAGAGCAGGAGGCAAAATTATTATTGACGGAATCGATATATCAACTATTGGACTTCATGACCTTCGTGGCAAACTTAATATTATTCCACAGGTAAAGCCTATGTTGCCAGTAATCTTTCTTAACCCACTCCAAGAAAATCTGTTTTCTTTCTTTTTAAAAATCTGTTCCTTCCAAGTCTATAAATTCATTGTCCGAAGCCATATCATTTTAAATGGAATATATGAAAAACTGCTATGTAATTGAATCCTCTTTGAATACCCTTATCATAAAGCATTCCTCCTAAGAGCGTTTATCTATTTGAAAAACCAGTACATCTTTTTGATACAATTCCTTCATAATAGTAAGTACAAATAAAATTCAAATAAATAGATCAGACTGAAACACACTGATTTTTTTTGAAAAAAAAATTACTGAAGTTTTTGCTTAGTTATTAGTTTGAATGTAGAATTTTGACTCTTTTTCACTTGAAGTTTAGAAACATTAAAAAAAAACAGTAATTCAGTTAGATCTCTTTTCTCAAGTTCTTTGATTTTTCCATCTGTGTAATCAAAAGAACTTGATCATTAAGGGGCATGCAAACTAGTTTAAAAGTATGCCTCTTAAGTCAAGGATGAAATACTCAGCTGAAACTGGGTGCAGTGGCTCATGCCTGTAATCCCAGAACTTTTTGAAGCCGAGGGGGGTGGATCACCTGAGGTCAGGAGTTTGAGACCAGCCTGGCCAACATGGTGAAACCCCATCTCAACTAAAAGTACATAAATTATCCAGCCATGGTGGTGCACACCTGTAATCCCAGGCACTCAGGAGGCTGAGACAGGAGAATTGCTTGAACCCAGGAGGCGGAGGTTTCAATGAGCCAAGATTGTGCCACTGCACTTCAGCCTGGGCAACAGAGCCAGAGTCCGTCTCAAAAAAAAAAAAAAAAAAAGAAAATCATTGTACTGTCTTCTAAAAATATATTAAAATGTCATATTGTTTAGACATATACTTGTATTCATGCATTTACTTCAAAACAAATTTGAGTAAAATCTGGAATTCTGGAAGGGAAAAAAATTAGTGGAAAAAAAGAGCCATCAGTCGTTCTTCTCTTATAGATAGAGTAAAATATAGTTTCACTAGGCATCTTGGTATAGAATAAAGAAAACGAACTTAATCTTCTTTGAATTCTCTTCAACCACCAACTTACCTTCATGTGGTGTGGACAAGAACTCTTTGGAACTTCCAGCTCACTCTCTGTAAAATAAGAATACTAACTTCTATCTTTCTGAGTTGGTATACTGATTGATAATATTATACACATACTACATTTCATATTTATTGTATGTTATATCCTTGACTACATGGCAGTAATTATCATCATTATTTTGGTGCTTGTTATTATTTTTAATAATAGGAATAGGAGAAAGAAAATCAGGAGACTTATGATGACTTAATATGAATTATAGTTTATTTTGACTCTCTTCTGTTTTTGTTTTAAATATAAAATGAATTTGATGACTATAGTAGGTCTGATCATTTTGCTTTCTCTTGCTTTGTTTTCTGAGTCTGATTTTTAGAAATGTATTTATGCCTCATGACAGTAAGATTATGCGGGACTATTTTCTGCTCTAGCACCCTGTTTTATTTTCTGGAACCCTTAAAATGAACCTGGATCCCCTAAACAAATATTCTGATAGCAAGCTGTGGGAAGTGCTGGAATTGTGTCACTTAAAAGAGTTTGTGCAGTCCCTTCCTGAGAAGCTACTGCATGAGATTTCAGAGGGTGGCGAGAACCTCAGGTAAGCTGCTAAGAGCAGAGCTTGTCCAAGTTATTCATTCCAAGCTCTTTAGAAATTTGAACCAGCATTGAGGAGAAATATAGCTGCTGAGCCACCAGGGCCTGTTTAAAGTGCACCATGGCCGATTCCCTCTAGGGAAGAGAAGGAAAAAGTACATTGGTAGCTGCAGCCTGGGAAACCACTGGCTAAGAGAAAGGAAAGAAAAAATAAAGAACAATGCCCTAGGAAAAGTCACTATTTAATTCAATCTTTTGTCAAGACTGCTACTCTGAGAGCCTCGTTCCTAAAAAAAATGTTGTAAGGGGCTACTTTGCCTTCACCGTTGTTTGTTGCCTTAAGACAGCCCCCTTCATGTGACCAGAGACCCAAGGAAAGTGAGCTAGATCCCTGTAATGGCCTGCGTGGCAGGACTCCCACCACCCCTTCTTTGATCACTTTCTCCCTACCTCTCTGTGCTTCTGCAACATTGGTCTCCATGCTGTGTCATGAGTTTGCCAGGCCAATTCGCGCCTACCACAGGGATTTTACATCTGCTGTTTCCTTTATCTGGAACAAGTTTTTACTGGAAATCTGCATGCCTCACACTCCGTGTCCTTCAGTTCCTGTCTTAAAACTTCTCCTGAGGATTTCTTTGGCAAGCCCATCTAAAATGCCCACCCCACACCCACACTTTATATCCCACTTCTGTGTGTTTGAATTCTTCTTAACACTTATTATATAGATACTATCCATGAAATTACTACATATAATATTGCACCGTACTCGTATACCCCTCCTACTATGCTTTTTACTCAATTATCTTGCTTATTGCTTTCTGTGTCCCCATGAGAACGTATCTGCCACACAGAGATTTTTGTCTGTTTTGCTCATGGGTCTAAAGTCTGGCACTCCCTCAATAAATATTTCTTGAATAAAAGAACAAATGAAGTTGTGGGTGAAAGAAAGAAAGAATAGTAGTACCATCAGAATTTTAAAACATGAAGTGTGTTACCATAAAGTCCATTGTTGAAATTATTATTATTATTATTTTAACAGCATGGGACAACGGCAGCTGGTCTGTCTTGCTCGTGCTTTGCTTCGAAAAACAAAAATTCTCATCCTGGATGAAGCAACAGCCTCCATCGACTTTGAGACGGACAAGTTGGTGCAGACCACAATCAGGAAGGAGTTTTCTGATTGCACCATCCTGACCATTGCTCACAGACTGCAGTCTATCATTGATTCAGACAGGTGTGCTTGCTTGCTTTTCAGAAATAAAATCATTTCTGCCAAGATAAATATTGGGTATATGAAACACACTGATTACTTGCCAGTCATAAATAATTATATCTGTGCTGGGAGATACACAGTTTTCCCTAATGATATAAGAGGTATTTTCCAAAATAATTGAAGAAAAAGTTAAAGCTAAAAGAATATTAGAAAACTTGCTATAGACAATGACATAGAAGGTGTTTTCCAAAATAATTGGAAGAAAAAGTCAAAGCTAAAAGAATATTAGAGAACTTGATATAGTTCCTGAATTAAGTAGCACCTATATGTTGAACTGAAATAACTTATACACTGGTTTAAACTTTATATTAGCAGGACCAATAAAATGTGAGGTGGAAGACTGTAGGTTACCTGACGCTATTCTTTTCACATTTCAGGGTGCTTGTTCTAGACTCAGGAAGCATTGTGGAATTCGAAGCGCCTCAGAATTTGATACGTCAGAAAGGACTTTTCTATGAAATGACGACGGACGCTGGAATAACACAAGAATCAGGCACAGAAAAGAAATTACTTTAGCTGTATGGTAATTTGCATAATAAAAAATCACTACGGTGCATTAGTATTTAAAAAGCAAAGATAGAAGAAAAATGCACAAGGGCAGGCCCCTGCTATGAGTTGGCACACACTCTCATAGGCACGAGTTTCTTTTTTTGTTTGTTTATTTGTTCAAGACGGAGTTTTGCTCTTGTTGCCCAGGCTAGAGTGCAATGGCGCGATCTCAACTCACTGCATCCTCCGCCTCCTGGGTTCACGCGATTCTCCTGCCTCAGCCTCCCGAGTAGCTAGGATTACAGGCACCTGCCACCATGCCCAGCTAATTTTTGTATTTTTAGTAGAGCCGGGGTTTGGCCATGTTGGCTAGGCTGGTCTCGAACTCCTGACCTCAGGTGATCTGCCCGTCTCAGCCTCCCAAAGTGCTGTGATCACAGGCGTGAGCCACGGCCCCCCGCCCGCACCACAGTTTCTAACGATCCTGGGCTGTACCTAGACTTCCCTCTTCCTTTCGTGCTTACCTTATTCACATTGGCCAAAATGCTAAGTGCCACTTGTCCTTTAAGTCCCTGACTTCACTTGGGAGTTCCCTGCTCAGCGTGTCCCCTGATCTTCCCCTCTGCCCTCCACTGTGATCTAGACATCCCTTTTCTGTGCTCTCATTAGCCCCGTGTGCATACCTTTATCATGGCAGGGCTCATACTCTATTTTAATTTTTAAGTCTGCTTTCCCCTTGAAGGCAACTGACCAGTTTTAATCATCTTTGTATGTTATGTTCCTACCATCGTGCCTTTCACAAAACTGATGCCTGACAAATGTTTGTAGAATGAATAGCTAGACATTTTAGAGTACTGTAAGTACTTATTTATATATAAACAGATGTGGGCTGGGCACTGTGGCAAACACCCATAATCCCAGCATTTAGGGAGGCCGAGGTGAAAGGATAGTTTGAAGCCAGGAACTTGAGACCAACCTGGGCAACAAAGTGAGATCCCGTCTCTACAAAAAATGAGTAAATATAATGAAAAAAATGAGACGGGCATGATAGTGCACGCCTGTAATCCCAGCTACTCAGGATGCTGAGGTGGGAGGATCGCTTGAGCCCAGGAGTTCAAGTTTGCAGTGAGGTATGATACACCATGGTACTCCAGCTTGGGTGACAGACACCCTATCTTAAAAACAAATAAGTTTTAAAAGTATATTTTGAGCTATTGTGCAATTTATGAAATGATGAAGAAATCACAGAAAAAAGTTATTCAACTGCTTTTTGGAAACAGTAGTTATATATTAATAGATTTTTTATAATTGTTTAGAATGTTTTATATTTTTATTATTTACCTTTGAGTAAAAAAAAAAAGCCTAGTAGTTTCTTTGGAACATTATTTTTTGGTTAATATACCAACCTCAGTGGGATATTTTATTACATTTATGAGAGGATTGTTGATTTGTAGTCCTAATCAGATTTAAAGGGCTTTTTCTTTAGTAGTTTTGTTTAAAAGAAGCAACGTTATGTCTCTGAATTGTCCTTCAAATTTAAAGTCTTTAAACTTCAATAGGATTTTCTTTCAAGAAGATTTTAATAAAATAGTTTAACATGTTCTTTAAAGCCCATCAACCATTTCTTTTGTCCTCCTTTCTTCCTCCCTGTGCAGCCCTGTACAACCTTGCTTCATTTCCTAAGGGTGTTTATGAAAAGTTGCCTTAAACTAGAAAACTTGTATTATCTAAAATCTCCTCCCTTAAGGATGTAAGCTACTTGAAGTGTTGTCCTATCTGTACAATCCCTGAAGTGCTTTGTAAACATTGAATAAATAGCTGTTGAATTGTATTAAGGAAGGAATCAAAATACTTCATTTATACGAGTTAAAAGATGTTTTAGCTCCCTACTCCTATAATTTTAGTAAATCAGAGAAGCTGCATAATTTTAAAATCTAATGGGAAATCAACAGTAGCCTGGATAAATTGTGGTATATTCACATAATAGAATTCTATCTAGCTATGAGAATGAATGTACAACAGCTACTGCGCACATTAGGCAATCTGATGAATCTCACAAAGAATGTTGAGTGAAATAGCCACAAAAGAATATTACTATATGACTCCATGATTCTAATTATATAATTTTTTAAAAGAAAAACTAATTTATACTATTAGAAGTTGGGATACTGGTTATCCTTGGTGGGGAGGGTTATAATAGGGTACACAAGGTAGGCTTATGGGATAATGGTAGCATTTTGTTTCTTGAAGTGAATCTGAGTACTCATTCAGTTTGTGAATGTTCACCAATCTGTATATTTAGAATATGTGTAGTTTTCTGCATATATATACAGATATATATCTTCATATGTAATACAGAGTAAAAGAAAAGCAAAAGTAAAAAACATAAAAAATGACTACATCAAAGCTATTCAAATATAATTTTCTTGTTTTAAGAAATCAATATTTTATTCTTACTTCAATTATGTACATCAAGTTTGTTCAATTATTGATGTACACTAGAAGCAAAGCACAAAGTACTCAAAGTGATTGGATTACAGCGAGGTAGCACATTTGTAATAAAAAAGGTTATCCCATGATTGTATGATTTGTTTAAAGACTGTAACTTCAAAATAGATTCATAAAGTAATGATACATTTCAATATACAAAATATTTACCATAGCTGACAGAGAAAAATCCTAAGTAGCATTAAGTTGCTTTCTTTGAGGATAACAAGAACGTTTATTATTGAAAGCCCACGATGTGCCAGGTAATGTGCAATATATTTGGAACATGTCTCACTTTCAATTCTCACTCAATAATATCAGAAAGGCATTATCTACTCCATTTCATCAAATACGATACTAAGATTCCAAGAGGAGCTGGGCCAATAAGACAAAGAATCCAGGTCTACGTGAGTACAAAGCTGAGGATGCTCTTTCTAGTTCTCCACCAAGATGTCTCATTCCTAGAAGAGTCACTAAAAACTAGTCTGTAGTTTGAAAAAATTTCCAAATCTTTAAAAAAACAGGATTTTAAACCAATATCTTTGTGGGCATACTAAATAAAATTAAAGTTTGCGGTAGGGGTAGGATCCATGCCTCTTTAAATACAGTATTAGGTTGGACCATATAAAATATTCATTTCTGTAGGTCAAAAAATGGCTGAATAATGGCAATTTCATTTACTTCTAAACACAGCCTTGATATAGAAGTGTTTAGAAACATTTGATCCTCAATCGCTGATACTCTTTCTTCCAGTTGATCGAGTCGGTTACTGAAGTTTGTGCATTTGTCACCTATTTCTCGTGTCATGGTTTTCATCTCTGTCATTTCGTTTATGACCTTCTCTGCATTAATTACTCTAGCCATCAATTCTTCCACTGTTTTTTCAAGGTTTTTAGTTTCTTTGCGCTGGGTACGTAATTCCTCCTTTAGCTCTGAGAAATTTGATGGACTAAAGCCTTCTTCTCTC